CTTGGAAACAACTGATGGATGAAAGCATGCGGTCATGAAGTCCCTCCGACACATGCTTCTGCTGCCGGGAGCTGTGTATGAAGGAGCATGGCAATCTAAGGCGCAGCCGTTAGCACATGGGTGACCTGCTTTTTGCTGGGGGCCTCACAGATGGATACCGTGTGCGGAAATCATACCCGAGATCTCCATACAAACCGGCTGTTTTCACAAGAACGCGGCCTGTGAAGGGCACCGGGCTGGGTTTTCAATGAAAAGAAGACAGAAGTGATGGTGCTTGGTCCTAGTGGCCCTTGTACATCCCATCCTGCGGACTTGGGCCCCCTGGCTCATTATCTTAAGCCAACCGTATTGAACTTGGCTCTTAAACTGGGCAGCAATTTGAAATTGGACCGGCAAATTGGTGCCGCTGTCGAATCCGGCTTCTTTACCCTTAGGCAGCCTCTCCTTTCAAAAGAGCGCTTTGAGACAGTCATTCATGCCTACATCACATCCTACCTGGTTTTTCTCCATGAAGCATCTCCAGTTGGTCCAGAATGCTGCTGCTCGCCTCTTGACTGGTACTCGCAAGAGGGAGCACACAACTCCTACTTTGGCATCACTTCACTGGCTCCTTTTCGAGTTCTTTTTAAGATTCTATTAGTTGTTTTCTATCTTGAAATGGCCTGGCCCCACCTCACCTCTCTGAGCCCCCTGCACGGTTCTACGGACCAGACACTATTCGAGGTACCGAGAACTAAGTGGGGGCTCGCAGGGAATGGAGTCTTTTCCGCTGCCGGCCCCCCTCTCTTTGGAACACTCAGCAAGCCACGGGCCATCTTTAAAACTCATTTCTATTCTTTGGCTTTTGACTCAGCCTAAGACTTGCTTTTTAAGTTTACTGTGCTTCCTATTGTCTTTGTTACGAATGTATTGTTTTATTGTTTGTTGTCTGAATGATTTTTGCTCTGTGTACAACACTCTGAATACAGCACTGGTTGTTTTCAAGTGCGCTAGAAATACACTTGAGTGGAGGTTTGTAGTCATGGTGCTATTTGATTTTGAATGGCTCATTTTGACCTCTTTTTTCCCCGTCTGCTTTTGTCACAGTGGGAGAAGGCCATCTCACTTCCTCCTGCACACCGGGGTGGTCACGTTGCTACATGTCCGATCCATTGGGGTGATGTCAGTCTGACAGATGGACCTGAAGAGCCCGGCATGACAAGCTGCTGGTGACTTTTGCTGTAGCTCAGCACATTTTTCAGGACTCTGTTCAAAACAATCAGCTCCATAGAAGGACAGAATAATACAGTTTTGTGAAATTATGCTTGTCTGATGGTAATTCACAAGGGCGGCGAGTTATTCATATTTCGACATTGGAAAACACCCTGTTCTGGGTTGTGTGCCGTTTTTTTTTTTTTTTTTTTTTTTAGTGAGATGGGAGAATCACTCTTTGAATGTATTGCGCTCCACAAGCCACCACAGTTGCGCTCCACAGTTACTGGAATAATCCAGATCAGGGCGAATCTCACAAATGTAGGTGAGGATAAGATCATTGCGCAAAAAGGTTTACGTGCAAAAAAAGCACAAATAAAACAAATGTCACTGGTTCCAATAACGAGACAAACCAAAAATGCTCGCAAAAGGCAAGGACAAATGTCACTGGAAATTGCTTGTCATGAAAAGACAAGAAAACCCAGAACGCGTCGAAGAAATTAACAAAGACTACTTACTTACTATGAGCTAATGCAAAAAAAAAAAAAAAAAAAAAAAAAAAAAACGTGGCAAGGACAAGGAAATCGAGAAAATTGGAACACTTGGAGAGCGCGTGATGAGCAAGGCCAATAATCCGACAAGGGAGCCACAGCTTGGCAGTCCCAAAACACTCAGTTGATGGTGATGAATGACAGGCGCGTTGCTGGAGGTAACCGCCCTCCATTCCGGTTGGAAATTGAAAAAAAAACAAAGCAGAATCATGACAGAATACGATCATAAGACAAGGTTGAGAAGTTCACTTGAGCCTGGTCAATTTACATGCTCCTCTTTCTGAAATCTGATCCAAGTGTTTGCCACGCGTGTGGAGACGTGAAATTTCATGATTCTTCAAGTGTTCAATTTTGTCTTCTGATGGGTTTTACTTCAACACGATGGAAAAGTTAAGTATTGCCACTCGATCGAAGTGGAACAGCTTTTCTGAACGGAATCGCAGAGGACTTTGCATTGCGTCATAGCCGGAAGTAAACCCCCTGCAAAGCGCATATTTATGTTGTGACACTGACCTTGCAAAATGATTGTCACAGTTGCTCGTTGCCTTTGGCTGTGACCTTTCCAAGAGTTCCTCAAGTGTCGGTGTGCCGCGTCTCCTCCGGAGGCGGGATAGCGCATCATGCTGTGCCCTTTGTGATTTCGCATCCTGCTGAAGAGCTTGTTTGCGGGGGGGCGAGGCTGCCATGCTGCACTTTCCCTGCCAGGGGAAACATCAGTCATGGATGGTTACCAACGGCGAGGCATATATTACAGTCGTGACATCACTTTTGGGTGTTTCTGTCCATTTCCGTCATGAGGAATGATCACGGGTGGATTGGCATTGCTCGACTGTCATTTAGACACGGTGCAGTTGCTGCTATCTTGCTGCTGACGGATTATAAAATCAGATCTCCCTCATCATCGCTTCAATATGCACACAGAAGATAGAAACAAAGCTTCCGATCCCCCCGTTGCTATAGCAACGCCAGCATGAACACCGTGACACTACAAGGCCGCGGCTGCCGTTGCGATATCAGGCGCATGCGGAGAAAACAGCAGGTCGCTTTGACTAGAAGTACACGGCTGGCTCGAGAAACAGCGGCAGAGAGCGGCGGCGGGCCGGCAGGGCGTCTCCAATAATTAGTCGAGAACCACCGTGAGCTAAGTGACACTCTTCGTGCTGAACCGAGAGCGTAAAACCCAGGTTAGGGTCACACCATCTAGGTGGCAGATTACCAGGTGACACCTTTGTTACAAAACTGAGAAATGGCTCTACTTTGTACAAAAAAAAAAAAAAGAAATTGCCGCTTTGCTTTATTACCACCCCGATATAATCATGACATAAAATGAAGAAATCAGACACCCACTGAATGACTTGGCATTGATTCACAACTCTTCCACATCTTACGGCTCCTGCCTCTTAAAATATTTCAGTTACAAGAATCCAGAAATGTTTAATATGATATAAATTACGGATCGCAGTCCAGTTTCCTTTCTGACTGCGTCATCTCCAGTGATAATAACGTACCCTCAAATGCGTCACAATGGCTCCTTCAGTGAGCTGTAAACTCGCTTTAAAAAAAGGAGACAAAATGACTTTGGGGACTCAATCATCAAGACTTTGAATATGTCAGCGGCATTTTCCAATTTCATTTCGACAGATGCCATCAAGCAGGATAACAATTAGCTTGTCTGTGAAGTTCATCAAGTGGCACAAATCTTGTTTGATGTTAAAAAAAATTAAAAATATGCAGCGGCTCATTTCTCATTGCTTCAAGTGTTAATAGACAGAAAGGGGAGTCTAAGGGAATGAGGCTAAGGGCATTTTCAAAGGTAGCAGAGAAAAAAAGTATTATCAGTGTGGGGACCTTGAAACGATCCGCTAAACAAGTCTGCCTTTTCCCAGAAGAAGAAAAACAGGATATGGCAGCTCCAAATATGCAGCAGTCAGTAATGTCATTTTCAACTCTGCCGATCCCATCCATCGTCACTGGAGTTTATCCCAGCTGACTTTGGGCAAAAGCCATACGACACCTTGAACCGGTCGCCAGCCAGTCACTATGTTCAAAGAACCCTCCGCACCATCACTGAGCAGGCACCAAGTAAGGAGAGTGTGCCACTCCACCATCAGCGACTTAACACTTAGTAGTGGTCATTAATTTGTGGTCTGATGAGACAACACCATCCTGCTTTTCCCCCCTCTCCAAATAATACAGCGTCATCTTTGTAAAATTGCATCCAAGTTCATTTCTTTTTCTAGTATGGCTCCAATACTCATTTGTTGTAAAATAAGTGGCGTTCAAGCAATAACATTTCAAAGTCCTGTCATTCCAAAGTGGAGGTGTCGCAGGCAATGTTTCTTTGGTGGACACAGAGGTATTTGAGGGGCTTATTAAAATCCGGATTCAACTGATTTGAGCGCATGTGGGCGAGGTAACAGCGGCTTGGCTGAGAAAATGCGGCATGGCCTTTTCATATGACAGTGCAGAAGAGATGATTTCCGACTTGGCCAAGATGTCACGAGAAAGACAATACAAAATAATGAATCCATAACGATACCTTCAGAACTACTTTGCGTCACCAGTTTAGCAGGAGCGTCGGGGGCGCGGCGACACGGTGTGTCGAAACCTCCAAATGGGCGCAAAATGGCGTCGAAGACTTAATGGTCATTTGGGGCTAACACGTTGCCCTTCAAAATGTTAAAATATTGCCTTGATAATGTAAGTTGAGGGGTTCGTAGGGTTTGAATGGATGGCTCTACGTTCGGAATGGGCAAAAAGGAGAGATAGACTTCGTTTGAACGCAGCTTTTATTTTCCAACGTCTGCTCCGTAACTCTCGAACGAATACACCTTTTTTCCGGTAACGAAAACACTTCCTGCTTTTCTTCGCCAATCAGATGCAAGCAACATAAGCGTATTTAAGTAATTATTAAACAGAATATAATTTAGGTAACTGTAACATAAAAGAATATAATGTTCACATATAAAATGATAATAATTAACAATTTTAAAAAAGCTTACATTAATACACTTTAGTAATAACTAAGTAACCAGCAAAAATGTTAACCATCGTTGATACCTTTGCTGATAATTGTGTTCTACACTAAAAACAAACACTTGAAAAGTAACAACCATTCAGAAAAGTTGCTGCTATGAGGTGACGGTGCAGTTGCGTGCTTGCTCTTCTAAATAAAAGTAAAAATCGACTCTTGAGCGTTCGTGAGGTGGCGTAGCGCTGCGTGTGCTCACTGAGCACACCTCCCTTTCTGCCCCCCTCCCCTCCTTCCCTCTCGACAGCACCGCGGCACAACAGATGGTGCGCTATACATTACTCTTGCGCATTTTTGCTTTGGAACAACTTTCCTTACAGGCACCGTTCACGCATTTAGCCGACAGAAAGGTTCCTTGCCAGGAAAAAACTCGACTTTTAACTCGAGACCGTTTCGAGACGCATTTTGGTGTCCGGGTAAGTTGTTTCAAATTACCTTCTTTTTCTGGATGTGCACGTAAACGCTGTGAAAATACCACTTCTTCTCCTCCTTATTATTCTATCCCACTTGTTTTTTTTCTCTTGATTTAACAGCCGTAGAAGTTTGTTGAGGACAAAGACGATCGCGCTCTGAGCGGGATTTCACCTCCTTCAGCTCGACGCCAAATACGGCGTGTGATGGTCTTTTTTATTTCATGAGAAAGTGTTTTGATGGAGCACGTTACTCGGAGAGCATTTCGTAGTTTTCAGTGCGCACCTGCCTTGTCTCCTCCTCATGCTCTGGTTCCGTCCAGTGGTGCTCATGCTGCCCCCCCCACCCCTGTCATTACGACTTGAATAAGTATGTCAAGTTTGACAGCAAGGAGACAGTGGCAGACGCTGCCATGTGATCCCTTTTCCATATTATGTCCTACATTTCATTTCATACATCAAATCGCTTTTTTCAGACAGATTACACCGCTTACTGTAAATAGAGTTCCTCTCAGAGGATATTCACCAAAGCTGACCTCGACGCTCTACTTTTTTAGGACAATGATATATTTATTGTAGCATCTCAGTGCACTTTTTTTTTTACATCTAAGGTACTTGCATGCATTGTGTTTTGTATAGATGTGAGTTCATGAAGATTGTGTAAAGTCACTAAGCAGGAGATGACGCTTTTTACGACCACTGCCTGTGCCGCTGACACTAATCTGTCTGACTCCTTCATGTTCTCTGCAACGGTGGAATATTAGCTTGGGGACATGGCTTAGTCTTACACGTACTCCCTTACATTGGCTGTCACCATGGCCACCATCTGCATTGCTTTAAAGCCAAAAATCCATGTCTCCCTCTTCTGTGTTTATAGCCTTGGTTCTCCACAGGGAAAGCAATGATCATACACGCGTACTGTAGTACACAATGAGAACATTTCCACTTGGAGTTATTCACCCATGTATCATAAGATGAGAGAGTCCTACCAGGGGCACCAATGAGTCGAATGTAATGATTTGTTTAGCCCTAAAAGACGTCCGTCCACACTTGCAGTGGGCCCAAGGTGGGCCGTGGCAGTCGCAGCTGCTGACGGAAGGACACGAGATTACCAAATGGCTTGTAGCAATTTGTCTGAAATTAGATCCTCGGGGAGAGCTGCTTCAAGTGCTCTTGACTCTGTGCGCTGCCAGCACGGTAGCGTCTCATGGAAATGGGAGGGTGGCTTTGGAGATGAGGCATCAGCCGAAGGGGAAAAAATATATATATTTGTTAACGAGGAGGGCTACAGCGGATGTTAAGTAGAATGCTTCTTCTTCCAAAATATGGAAATCACTCTCTATTATTCCTCACAGCATATGTTGCCCCCACTTTTGTTTCAAATAATTTAAGTGCATCGCTGTCCATGCTGAATGCATTTTTAATATTTGTGAATAGTACTGATTAAAAATATAACGGCACCTTTGTGGCTCCTCGGCCATTCGAAGTCGTGTGCGAGAACCACTGCTGTTGGCACTCGGCGAGTGATGAGGGAACGGAGCAAAATGCTCGCACCAAAACACTGCAGTGATACACGTGGAAGCAAAAAGGGAAGTAGGCGAAGATGCTATGTTGACCCTCGGAACGATCATGTTCTATAATTTGGCTGGCAACCAGTTCAGGGTGTACCCGACCCGCCGGCCGTAAAACAGCCGGGATCGGCTCCAGCACGCCCGCGACCCTCCTGACGTCAAGTGGCACGGATAATGCATGAATGGATAGATATTCGGGTACACCCGATGGCACAAATGAAACAGCTGCTCGTCTCAGAATAGCTAAAGCAACAGTTTAACAATCCTCCTCATGAAGTGAACCCACTCTGCGAGATCCAAATCAGGAGTGGCTTCAAGTAGCTCAGAAGTGGAACAAGGATAAGCCACCTCCTCTACATGGGCGACATCAAGCTCTGCCATTCGGATAAGTGCGGGTGAATGCTATCCACCAGTCCAGGGATGATGATGACAACCGAAGGGATTGGACTAAATACTTTGGAATTCCATGGGCAAAGAGCGACCATGAGGAGGCAGCTCGAAGGGCAGCCGCGGCCAAGCACCTAAAAGAGGGTGACGCGGATCCAGAATTATCAGCTGAACGGCAAGAATAAGGTGCAGGCCAAGAGCTCTCAAATTTTAGGGGTGCTGGGATTCATTCTAAGGAGGGTTTGAGCACCCCAAAAGTGGGACAGAAATGTCTACGGTGTCATCCGAGTGACTTGCGGCTCATTTCCAGGCACACACGATCACAAGACGACAAGTCAGACATCCAAAGAAAGAGGAGTGATAGTGACACAACAGATGGAATGCTTTGTATCACAATTCTGGCAGACAAGAGTTGTTGGAAAGTCGGTTGAAAAGGCAAGTCTCTCGGAATGGCACTGGGGCGACACAAAAAAAAAACCCATCTCTGTAACACATCCAATTACAGTGGATATAAAAAGTGTATTCCCCACATGCACGGTATTTAGGAGAGTTTGTTTTGGTCTCTTGAAATCAAGGTTGACCTTTTCGGGCAGAACTGCAAGACACGTTTTGTGCAAGCACAACGCTGCACGTCACAAAAAGAACACCATCCATCTTTCAAGTGAAGCATGGTGGTGGGTGGCGGCATCGTGCTTTGGGGCTGACAGGATGAGGTGGAAGGAATTATGGAAAGTTCAAAATGGCACTTAGGCTTCCGCTAATAGGCAAAAAAAAAAAGTCTGGAAAAGCCCCTGAAAGCTGAAATTGAGTTTAGGCAGAGGGATGTTATGTGTGTGCTGAGTCCCAATGAGCGGTTCATTCGAAACACAGCCACATCCCATTTAGAAGAGGATGAGAGTTCATGTATTCATTTAACAGATTACACGTTATATTAATGGTGGGAAAGTTTTGAAATTATTTGTCTCTGTCTTTTTTTTTTTTTTTTTTTTTAAATCACAAAAACCCTGCGCTTTCAAGTTTTTTTTTTTTTTTAAATCACAAAACCCTGCGCTTTCAACAGAGGCGTTCAGACTTTTTACACCCATTCCATTTCACAAGACCTCGGATTTAGCCAACGGCATATTACGAAGTTGAAATTAGCATTTATTTTAAAAAATATAAATATGAGCGTCACTACTCCCTAGAGCAGTGCCTTTTTTTTCCCTTTGAAAGGCTGTGCCGCCTCAAAATGTGCCTCACGCCGGCGACCATCATCTCACGCTACGAGAATGCAGGGAAAAGCCTTCTCTTGATCAAGAATTGTTGACTTTAATGACACATTCAGCGCTAGATCTTTTCCTGACATAGAAGTAGTACTCCCAAACAAATGGAGACCCGTTTTTAAGTGAATCTCAGTTGCTTCATTTGTTGCGAGCGAGGCGATTGTCTGCCCGCAAGCGTTACCCGTAGTGGAAGTGCTACTCGCGGCATCATGGAGCTTCAAAGGGCCATCCTGCCTGGCATCCACAAATAGAATGTTTGAAGGGGAATTCTAAATGGAAATGGATTAATATTTCACCTTGGCAATGATTCATGCCGAGGCATGTTCCTCTGTAAGTTCACTTTTAATGAAAACGGAGGTGGGCTAACAGTTGACTTGATCTCGTCGCATCGAGGTGTGCAGTCAAGTACATTCTCCGCGGAGGCATTTTTCATTGTTTAGATAGACGCCATCATCTAATAATAATAAAAACACAAATAGTTGGAGTCCTGTTTTCAAAAGTTGATATTCCGTCTGCGAAATTAATGTAAAAATGAGCGTCCATATTGGTGCTATTTTCGTTAAACGTTTTTGTGAAGAATGGTCCGGCGTATATGTGCAACATTAGAATGAAATCCAGTCATGCCTAGCTGTATTGCCGTTCGCTATTTGCTGATTTAGTTATTTCTTTTCTCATATTTACATCGCCGTTTATTCTCTGTCGCTTGATTTTGCAGCGATTATTTTTCCGCATGTACTGTTACTACAGAGCAATAAACACAAGCCGGAAAAAAAGAATGCCGAAAAAACAGAATGTGCAAAGTTTGGGATCATTTCACACTCAGAAAAAGAAGCTCAATTGCACAGTCAAACTGGCCTAAATGTACATTATGTCGAATTTAGTGCCATCTAGTGGTAAGCTAACACAACGCAACGATAAATTGGATTTTTGGAGAGACCACATTTACAGCTTTTCTTGCTTTTCTAAAAGTTCTCTTGGCCCAACAAAATGCAAAAAGGGACATGTGACCAAAGTCTTGCAAGGCTCAAGTGTTTGGAGTACACTCGCCGCCGCCACCAAATCCAACGCGAACTCGATTTACGCAGGAAAAACATGTCAAAGATCGACTATTTCAACAGGTGAGCGCTTACATTACCGAAGGGCGAAATGATCCGGAGGGCCGCTTTCCTGCATTTTTTTCCCTTCTCTCCCTGCTGCAACACACCCGATTCAAATGATCGGCTCATCGGCAAGCTCTCAAAGAGTCTGACAACCATGAATCGGGGAGAGACGGAAAACCTGCAAGAGAAGGGCCCTTAAGGACCGGGGTTTGACACTTTTTGGGGTGGGGGGGTGGAGGGCACCACTCAATACAGTCCATAACTCAAGTGCAGTTCATTAGATGAGTGAAAGCTGGTAACTACTGTGCTTTGTGATACTTTTACTGGTCATGCCTTTGAAATCTCTTTCAATTATTTATCTGCGAAAATCAAAACGTGATCAGGGAATAAATTTGATCCATTATTGAGGAACGAACCTCATGGCTTTGCCTTCATGACATAAACAACAACAGTGGAAAAAAAAAAAAATAGTTCGCCCTACATTTGTGCCGTACACAACATGAAGCCGCCCCCGTGCATTTCATTTGCACGTAACAGAGACAGTACGCGACTGCCGTGGCACACTCAAGGACTTTGTAACCAAGGCAACCAACAACAGTCACAGAGAATTGTCAGATGAGCGACTCAAGTGTGACGAGGAACCGATTCCGATTTTACATCAAGCTCAATAGCCAGGGCTGTTTAGCGTGACGGCACTTAAAAGAGGAGTGAATACCCTGTCCAATGTTTGCGCCGTACCGTTTAGGACATCAAGTAAATAAAGTCAACCGGATCTGGAGCTGCAGGTCTAGAATCGGTTGGTTGTTATCATCGTTTCCGGTTCACTGTGCCATTCTGTTTTCATGGCGACAGATGAGCAAAGCGCGAGCATCAAGAAAAGAACTTGGTGGCGACGGATGCTCCATTCGCGACAATAAGTCACAGCACAGTCATGCATCTCAACACCTCCCACCGTACGGACCGCGTGTTCCGATGTAGCTTGTTCTCTCGGCACGTTCGGCGTTGGCCGCACGCCACCTTACAACAAAACCGACGAAGCGCATCACTGCCGACACGAGGCAGGAAAACAGAGGCAAGTATATTTAGGTGCAGACTGCTACTATCGACTGGAGAAAGGCCGCTGAAATGACATTTCCTCATTCGCGTGGGTGGAAAAGAAGCTTGAGTCGAGCTTTGTGGTCGATAGAAGATTTTTCTGCGGAGCGGCCAATCTGCTCTTTGGAGCCCCATTAGTTGAAGGCCGAGCGCGCCTCAGAGGACCAACCCCGTGGGCTTTTCGGGTTGCGTCCGCTTTTCTGCGCACACGCGCCGTGTTGCGGCCACTTGTTTGCATCCGATGAGTCACTCACTTAAAATGATGCCCGCAGAGTCTCATTTCATTTGAGCCAATGACGTCACAGAACAGAACGAGCCACAGTCTAAGTGCCCACCGAATTGGAACGTTCACCTTAGCCCAAGAGGAAGAATAGTTATGAAATCAAGAAAGAGCCATTTTAGCAATAGCACACTGTTGTTGAGCGTGTCATCATCGCAGTTTAATCAGCCCGCATTTTGGTCCCAAAAACTGAATTCCTTTAGTCCGCCATGACAAAAGCAATAGCACACAGTTATTTGAGGAGTTTCGAGGCCATCCCCAAGTCAAACAACTATTTGGGGTGGACTAGAATTTATCCAACAACAAATTGCTATTTCATATTGTTGAGAATGACAATTGACCTTTTGAGCCTCTAAGTCATACATTTGCAGCTTGCTGCTTTAGGATTTGTTGAATTTCAAGATGAAGGGTGATGTAAATATTCTTCTGATGAGCGGGGTTAATGGAGACATTGTGCAGAGTGCACTTTACAGCGTAGTGCATCTTTGTGCACTCTGCCTAATATGCAACGGGGCCACTCTCATTTGTTAATTGTTTTATTATTTGCATGGGATTGGCACTGCCCCATCCAACAAAAATGTGCATATAATTGATGTCCGTTGAAATGCACTGGGGAAAAAAAAAAAATCATACAATTAAAAAAATCCGGGCAGCACGGTGAGCCACTGGTGAGGTTGGATTCCTGTTCCGGCCTCCCTGTGTGGAGTTTGCATGTTCTTCCCGTGCCTGCGTGAGTTTTCTCCGGCTACTCGGGTCTCCTCCCACATTCCAAAAACATGCATGGCCGGCTGACGAAACGTTCGTCCATGTGTGCCCCGGGATTGGCTGGCATCCAGTTTAGGGTATCCCCCGCCTACTGTCCGAAGACGGATGGGAGAGATTCCGGCACGTCCGTGAACTTCGTGAGGATAAGCGGATTAGAAAATGGATGGATGGATGAAAACATTTTTATTAAAAAATCCAATTCCATTGTGCCAGTACAGCAAAGTGGCCCGGGCTGCAAGGGACCTTCATAGCTTTTTGCAGCTCTTGTTTAGGTTGGTCTTCCATAGAAACAGTCAACATGATTATTTTTGAAATTGATTCCACATGATCGGGTTTCTGCAGGCCAGATGCAGAGCCGCTTCTGAGGACATAAAGACGTGTGCTTACCTTATAGTTGGAGGAGTGGATAGCAACAGGCAAAGTCCCCCCCCAGAAGAATATGGAGTCTCCTGTCGAAAGAGGCCATCTCTGCTCATTCACTGGTGTTGCCATGGCGACAGGGCTGCTATTTTGTCATTTCTATTACCCATAACGCATTAAAGTCGCACGGCTTTGTGACTCGGATGGTTGCAAAGCCATCAGCGAGGTCGCCAACAATTGTTTACCTGCACGGGCTTCTTCGCTCTGCTGCAATTTGTGAAGCAACCACAAAGTCAGTCCAAGTTGGGTTCTCTCTCTAATACTCCAAAAGCATGCTGCGGTCATGCCATCCTAATTTTCACGAACATCCTCCCAAGTCAGAGTATGCCGCGCTTATTCTCTCGAGGGTGATCGTTTGTTCTGTTTCTCTTTAGCGCGTGGCGTTCACCACAGACAATGCAAATCATGAGCATGTTGAACATTTGCGATTGGTGGCCTTGACTGTTTTCCGAGCAGGTCGAGGAAGAAAAAAAACCTCACTGTGAAACAAACCCCACGCGACTGAATAATCTCTTGGAGACATCAGAGAGGGAGGGAAAATGTACGACATCGGGCTCAATGATCTCAGTCTTTTCACAAAAGTAACCTTTTGCGTGTTCTCGCAAAATAATACGATGTGGGCATTGTTCCAGCTTCCCGTCGAATGGCTTTACCTGACGGCGGACTTTCTTTGTTTCCTTGCATTTGCTGTCTGAAACATCGCAAGGTGCTCTTTTTGCTCTTTTGGAGTACAGCTTTGCTGAGCCAAAGCATTTATCACATGGAGCGAAGAGTGAAAGTGACATGAAGAGATGCAGAGCCAGCAAAGGTCACCCGCTTGCAAACGCATGCCTCGGAAAACGAAAAAGGCAGTTCAAAGAGCACGCGACTGTGTGCTGAACCTTGTTCTTATAAATGACATCACAACTCTTGGCAAGCTATCTCCCTCCCTCGCGCTAGCTACCTAGCTGTCTGTCTGTCTATGTAATCAATCAATCCATACATAGATCTGTCTCCCACTGATTGGCTGACAGATGCGAACCTACAAACGAGCCCGTTTTTGGGTTTGCATCTGTCATCCAGGCTGCCCGCATTAGCGTGGTGCGATATCAGCAAAGACATACATATTAGCCTTCACTCAGTTGGAGAATTTTTACGGCACACTGATTGAGCAACAGTCTGCTTTTTATCCATCCAGCATGACTGATTTCGTGCACTTCCATTCTTTGACACTCGAGAAGCATTTACTTCTTCTCACTTGCTTTGGTACGTGACTCAGACCAGAATGTGTTTTCTCGAAACTACCGGGGACAGCAGAGCAACATTAGTTGATCACCTGCAATTTAGTACTTTGCAAACCCAAAGGTGTCGATCTGGAATTGGAAATATTGACCCCGCCCCTGACTGTAATGCAAGTGTCATCTTGAATGACTACTAACTGTCGAGAAGGCCAGGGCGCACGCCACCTCTCAGCCCAGTCAACTGAGATCAACCCCAGCTAACCCGCAACTCCGGGCAGGACAAGAAGTCGAAAAAGAATGCGTGAAGATCACCTTCAGTCTAGCCAGAAGTTATTTATGATCGCAATGCTTCCCCGGGAGAATTGTGAAAGATCCTTGTTATTACAAATGGATTTCTGTGTGACAGGAGGTACCAAGTCATCACCGACTTAAAGGCCGCAAAACAATATGAGGCAAAATCCGAAACAAGGTGTGGGAAATTAATCCCATGATGATGATATGAAATATTCTAACCATTGAACTCTTTCTCTGTCTGTTTCTGTCTGTTTGTGCTTGCAGGTCAGAAGTGGCTATGCCATTTGGCTGTTTAACAATTGGCGAAAAGAAGGATTACTACAGTCCTTCAGACGTGACGGACAAGTATGACATGGGTCAAATTGTTAAATCGTGAGTGCCGTTCATATCGACGTACTTGTTTTCTGCATTGCTTTGCGCTTCTTGTACCAAGGATAAAGTGGAACCTCTGAGCTGGGACTGGCTTGATTTGGCTTTTGATTTGAGAGCGTCAAGATCTGGCGTAGGAGATATCGAAATTGGTGAGGCTGAGGAATACTGAAATTGGATCGCACAACGTAACGACTTCGTCGACTTTTAGGACAAGTGGTGAGCACGTGATGAATGGCAAGACGAAGATTTCTGTCACTGGGGCGCTTTACATCGCAACTAAGTGCCAGCTGACTTCCCCGGAGCATTCCATTTTTTTAGCGTTACTGCGGACATCGTGTTGATGTTGTCAAGTCGCAATTCAATGCCAGATGCTCACTGAACTGAAGACTCTTGCAAAGTATTCCGAGGCCTCGCATGATAAGTCCTGTCTCCCAAAATGGAGGAAAAGAATTCAATTAGAGGAATTCAGCTTGAGAGGTTCCACTGTACCGAGCCCATGCATCTATCCATAGCCGCTTGAAATGCTTGTTTGCAGGGAGGAGTTCTGTGAGATATTCAGGGCCAAGGACAAAAACACCATGAGAATGTACACATGCAAAAAGTTCCTGAAGAAGGATGGAAGGAAGGTGCGCAAAGCTGCCAAAAATGAAATCCTCATTTTAAAAATGTGAGTTCTTTTCTTGAAACTAAGCATTTGTCATTGTGCACGCTCTCTGCTTGTATCTGATTTTTTTTAAACATTCCCCGGAACTTCGTGTTAGCATGAGCTGGATATGCTGTCATAACACAGATTCTTAATGCACAATTTTTTTGGTGTGCAATGTCCCCACGCGCTCTTTTCTTGGATATTTGTCATTGGCTGGCTTTAGCTGACAATCAACGGCAAGCTTTAGCGGATCAAGCATCGAGCCCTGAGGGACGCCTTTGGACAGGGGGGCAATAGAAGAAGAGAGGAGGAGATCATTGGTGACTTTGAGAAGGGCAGTTTCGGTACTAGGGTGGGCCAGATTGGAGTTGTTCATAAAGGCCATTGTTGGTGAGATGGGTTTTGAGTTGGGAAGCAACAACAGCGAAAGGAACAGGAAGTTCGATCTGGGCCAAAAGTTATTGAAATCGTCAGGGTTGAATCCAATTTTCCTGAGGATCGGGACGGTGGCAGCCCGTTCGAAAGACAGGGGGTCAGCGGATGTTCCGTTTTCCCACGGAAAGGGTTGACCACGGTGTCTATGGGAATTTCTCGGCTCACACTTTTCCACTTTATTCTTTTTTTAGTTTCACTCATGGCATTCAAAGAGACAAATATAACCGGTGGAATCAGCAGGTAATAACCTCAAAAAAGTTACATATAGTCACAGGCTTCAGTGCCAATGCCAACACCCGCTCTCTACTTGCTCACGTTTATTTACGGTTTGCCAGCAACACGGAATGAGGCCGTTTATTATTGTCAACGGTAGCGAATAATGGCTGAGGAAATGCAATTATTGAGAAGAAGAGGCTCTCGTTCAAGGCCTAACGTCATAAAGTTCATCAGTAGGGTACAGCTCCGTCGGGCTCCGACAAGCTTCCCTTTTTTACGCCACTGATCGTAACACACGATCATCGGCGTAATCATGAGCACTTCACGTGACTTTTCCATGCATCCCGTTTCTCTCAAAGGGGTTTCATTTGTCTGCCTCGAAATAATAACGATCATAATCCTAATTATATCGCGGGTGGGCTGTGTTGACTAATGTGGATTACATCATGCATTTGTTTCTCATCTCCTCAGGGTGAAGCATCCCAATATTCTCCAGCTGGTGGATGTCTTTGAGACTAAAAAGGAATACTTCCTCTTTCTTGAACTGTAAGTTTGAGGGAGTAAAAAAGGGGCTACTTTATGTCTTCCGGCCTCCCGCGTTGATCAAAAACTGGACACGTGAGGAGCAACTTCATTTATCACATATAGCGCATCGATGGCGCCGTCTCGGCTTTTCAACTTCAGTGTTTCCTGAAGTTTAGTTTGTTTATCGCAGGGTTTACGTTCCAAAAAGGACCCGCGATAGGCGGAATCCGCTCAGCAGTCAGAGTATTTGGCAAGCTGTACAGAGACGAAGTGCGGAGGCTGTTGACGTTGGTCACACACTGCACTGTATTTTAAAAAAAACCAAATTTCATCTGTGAAACAGCGAAGCCGTGAAAGGTGAGTCGCATTGTAGCGACGGTTCATAAATTGGTAAGGCATGTCCTCTCCTCCGTCAGTGCGACAGGCCGAGAAGTGTTTGACTGGATCCTGGACCAAGGCTATTACTCCGAGCGGGATACCAGCAATGTGGTGCGGCAGGTCTTGGAAGCCGTCGCTTACCTCCACTCTCTGCAGATTGTTCACAGAAATCTGAAGGTAACGTGCGACTCTTTTTCCAGAGCTTCAACTCATTCACTTCGACGCATGGTTTGAAAACATCCAAGACATCGTGGGGATAAAGCCGCTCGGTTCGGGGACGGAGGGATGGGTGGATATTGGAGGAAATGAGTACATATGATCTGGGACGTCAATATTCGTTGGCGTTGGGAAGAAGCGAGGACAGCCGTTGTCGGGAACGGATAGCGAGGTGGAAGGACGTTTGCATGGATCGGCTCCGTTTTCAGAATGCTTTTCGGCCGCTTCTGTTTTTGACCATGGAGCTATTCGGAGGAATAGATTTCAATTTTAGGGAGGGCCTGCGAGCTTGTGAATTGTTCTTGACAAGCGCCTTGCACACGCTTACGACATCTGCTCTTTCTCATGGGCGCAGTTGGAGAATTTGGTGTACTACAACCGCCTCAAGCACTCTAAAATAGTCATCAGCGACTTCCATCTTGCCAAGCTGGAGAATGGATTAATCAAAGACCCCTGCGGGACACCCGAGTATTTGGGTGAGATTTTTCAAGCGCATAATCAGGCCAAGAAGAGAGCGCAAAGAAATGTTTTGTGTTGTGTGCTTTTTTTTTTCACTTCACAGTACTCTTTAATCAGGCTTTGTTTTTTGTCCTCTGCAGCTCCGGAGGTGGTCGGCAGACAGCGATACGGTCGAGCCGTGGACTGTTGGGCAACAGGCGTCATCATGTACATTCTGTGAGTTTGGAGGCTCATGACTCGTGAGAGACAGAGTGCGTGGCATACAATTATTGATGAATGCTTGATCAGAACATTCCTTTTCAGTTGAACTGTAGCTCGTCAGGATAAGCGCTTTGGATCATGGATGCATGGATGAATTACAGAGTGAGGCTGAAGTTAGGTCTCGCATACTCCTCTTGATGATTGGGGGATGGTGGGGGGGGGGGCGTCTATGTGTTTACTGCTCCTCCAGGTGTACTTGAGGACAGCAACATAGAGTCGCATAAGTCTTTGCTTTTAGCAATCAATGGTTTTCTCGCAACTCCAGGCTGTCGGGCAATCCTCCTTTCTATGATGAGAGTGACGAAGATGATTATGAAAACCATGACAAGAACCTGTTCCGAAAGATCCTTGCAGGCGACTATGAGTTTGACTCACCATATTGGGATGAGATCTCCGATTCAGGTATTTTGATCCCACTCCATGGGAGCCGACTTTTGCCTTTTTTTGCATTCCCACAAAATATTCCAACATTAAACGCGACGAAAAAATGAACCCTTTGTTGACGTTTACGTTCATTTCCATCTGACAGCAAAAAGTCTGGTTGCACGTCTGATGGAGGTGGATCAAGACCAAAGACTGACAGCCCAGGAGGCTATCAACCACGAATGGTAGGTGGCGCAGACCACATCAATCATTCTTTGTCAACCCAAGCGGAGCGCCACAATAACGGAGGGTTTCCGGGTTCGCTGTCCCCGTTTTTATCCAACAGGATCTCGGGCGGCGCGGCGTCAGATAAAAACATCAAAGAAAACGTCTGCGCGCAAATCGAGAAGAACTTTGCTCGAGCAAAATGGAAGGTAAGCCCCCACAACATTGACCATTTTGTTTCACAGATTTCAATTGAATTGAAGGCACAGAGTTCAATTATTTTAGAATTAACGAGATTTTCAACCCGCCCCCCTCCTCTCAGAAAGCTGTGCGGGTCACCACCATCATGAAGAGACTGAGAGCCACTGAGCAAAGCGCCACCAAAGCTGCCGATGCGGCAGCCGGCGCTGCGGCAGCCCCCGCGGCGCCCGAGGCTGCCGCAGTCCCGTCCACACCTTCGCCCGCTGCCGCCACAACACACCAAGTGGTCACGGAGATTCACGAGCCGGTTGTGGAGATGCTCGAGGGGGCGGAGCCAGAGCCGCAGGAAGCTGAGCCCACGTCTGGCTGCAACGGAGATACGGCGGCTCCGCTCCGCGTCGGCGCCGATGCGGAGGACGAGCAGGGCTAGGCGCCTCCCCTCGGCCCGCACGGCCGCGACCTCGGCAGAGGCGCCGACTCCCGCACACTGTACATTAGCTGCTAGCATGGTGACACTGACTCGGCTTCTCTTTCACTTGCAGCATTCTTGTCATCTGGAGGCTGTGCGCTACCTTTCCTGAGTGCTCCGCATTGCATCGGCATTCTCTTTCAATGAATCGCATCTTCTTTCGCCAGCCCCCGGTGTACAAACTGAGTCTCCGAAATATTTACTTGAGTTTTCAGCGGAAGAAGAGATTTGCTGCCGAGCCACGGCTTAACAAAGACTTCATGCGTCTCAGTGCTCAGCAGAAGAAGAAGAATTGAACGAGTCGATTCCTTTTTTAAAAGCTGACTTGGGGGAGATGTCTGTCTGCCAGTATTTGCTCTTGAAATCAGAGAAATGTTTGACTTGAAAATCACGCCGCGTAACCTCCCGGTACTTAACGAGGGCGCTTTGCGCTGTCATACCCACGGTGCCGAACAGTTACTTTATTGCGTGTCGCTCGTTGCTGACATGGCCGAGAATTTGGTCCCGGCGTGACCTCACACATACGCACAGAACAACACAAGTGTTTGGTCCTTTGCTTACTCCTGCCTCAGGAAAGAACCTCACAGTTGTAGGTGGAAACATTTTGTGCATAGGGATCTTTGTAGAAGTAGCGAAAAGAGCATGCGTTCGCATTTTTTGCTATTCGTTTTTGCCTTTACGGTGACATAAAAAGTCCACGCAACCCCTGTTCGAATTCCGGATCCTGTCATATGAAAAACTTGAGCCTAAGATCAACCACTTCAAAACTGTTTCCACCATTTACACGACCTGTGCCAACTTGGAAAAAAACCCAAAATCTTTTCAAGAGGGGGAAGTACAAATAACAATCTAAAACTGCAACGTTCAGAATTAACCAATCACACCTCTTTTATTTCCGTTACTTATCTTCCCCTCTTGGCAACCCCAACAGGGGTGTGTAGACTTTTTCTATCCCCTGTACAGTCGCTTGGCGGATAAAGATGTTTTGTTTCCGAATTTTCACTTGACACGTGGTGTGCTTAAACCGGTTAAAGAGGGTCCGTTACTCTGTGCGCGCTGTTCTATGAGGTGCCTCACTTCATGTTCACGGCTGACTTCATCTCACAAAAAATGAATTTGTAGCTTTTCTTTTGCTAAAAGCACCACAATAGACTTAACGGCATCACCATCGGTCATCTTTGAAAGAGGTATCGTTTTGCTACATCTCAGTCTGCGCCCATAAATTTGCTCCTGTCTTTCACGGCAAGACCTGTTTCTTTGCAACACCACGGCAAGCGCATTGACGTTCATTTTCAAAAAAACGTGATCATTCGTATACGGAGCTGACTTCTGCAGATCGACTCGATAAACAGCAATATTAATCAATTCTTGTCCCCGCTTCCCTTGAGCATCGATTATGAGCCACAGAAAGAGTTGGAAAGAAAAGTGAGCAATACCTGACGGGCTGCAGAAACTGCGAGCCTTGCTGTCCTTTGGCTTGCCCATAAACACCGTTGCTGTCGGACATTTATGACGGTGCACTAACTCCCTGGGAGACTGTTATTTCTTTGCGTGCTTGTGTGCGCATGTGCGAGTGAGGAGCAAAACGTAAGCATCCTACAGTATCGCTCCCTTCAGGCTGACAAGTCTATTTGGAAGAATTGACCCTGCACGGTTCAAGTGCCGCAATTGGGATTTGTGTCAACCGCCTGGGATTGAATCTCCTGCGTTTAGAACAAGGCCCGTTTCAACGGTGGAAATCTGCCAATCCGACTGCAGCGTGAACGGATAAATCGGATTTATGGCATCCATGCGAGCTCGGTGTTATCGAAATAGACCGATTGGTCACGTACGTGTCTGCCCAAACAATGCAAAGAAACACACTGTACAGTACAGTGAAAGCATAAACAATGAAAGCAGCTCTCAATACGCTACATCAGAAGCGGTTCGATGATTAAATAAGGACAATAATTGCTGGCAAGAGTACAATGTGCCAACCGTATATTTGCAAGTTAGCCTAGTTGCAAACTTTTTGGGGATGAATTCATCCCATGCGCGCGTGTGTGTGTGTGTGTGTGTGTGTGTGTGTGTGTGTGTGTGTGTGTGTGTGTGTGTGTGTGTGTGTGTGTGTTTGTGCAAATGTGTTGCTCGGCCTTTGTCCAGTTGATCTTCTGAGCTAACACTCTGAAATATGAGCAGCCACAAACAGATAGTGCACAGTTTGTCTTCACCAAAAATAGTGTCCACAGCACAGAACTCATGAGGACAAATGTGTATTTTCCATCAAAATTAGACAACGTGTCTAAGGATGGACGTATTAACATACATTCTAAAATGAGGACATTTTCACTTTGTTAGTGCTTAAGCTGATTCCTTTGTGAGTTGGTGTTTTTGATAAAAAGTTCATTCAGAATTTCAGAGGTGTTTGTGTGACTCGATGATATAATGTAGTCCATCCCGTTTGTTTAGATGACTAGTTTCGTAAATACTCTTTTGACCACTGTTACAGTGTTTGAAGTCATGTTTTCTCCCCCCGTTACGCTTCTTTGTGTTGTATTCCATGTCTGGTCATTTGCCAGCCATCCACCGGTGTATTATTGTGGTTGCGATGTCCGCCAGGGCCCGTGGTCACCTGCCGGTCCTATTTTGCATTTGTGTAATGTTCTACTTAAGTGAGTTGACGACTTTGGTGGTAATAAAATACAATTCATCTAATTTCTGTGATCCCTTCCCGTGTTGTTTCTGTTAAATCCGTTTCAGTGCAGATGTGATTACTATTAAAAAGTATAATGGAGGAGATGCAATTTACGGTCCTGTGCAATGATTGCGAAAATGTTTTTTTCAATGTGCGTTTATGTCTTCTGGGTAAATTAAAGCAAGAAAGATGGAGCGTTTTCACTCGTGGGCGAGTCAACTTTTAACTACAAAGACATGAAATCTGTTCTTGATCTTCAGCATAAATAAACGAAAGACATCCGAAGCAACACCACGCGTTCAAGTCGACAGTAGCCAAGCTGACCCGGAAGTACATAAACACGCATGAAAAAGAGCTTCCTTTGTTTTAAAAAAAAGTGCGTTATTTCGCAAAGTTTGTTTTTTTTTTCTTCCATGTCACCTTGCGGGCTTCGTATTATTTTGGGAGTTGGTGGATAAAAACCATTGCTTCGACGAAGTAGCACTGTTAGCTAACCAACCTTCCAGCGCCTCGGAGGACTTGCAGATCATTCCTGTTGACCGCTCTCGTTCTTGCAAGAAGAGATAAGCAAAGGCCATCCTTGGTGCGCATTCCATTTATCTGCATTGGTTCGATCCATAAATGGGGCCATCTTTTTGCAGGTGAACACACACAGCATCGTCAGTCCTTGGCGTGTTGCCCACTTTGGTTTGAGCCGGCATAATCAGTCACTGGACGTTTTCTCAGGCTATTGACACGACTGGCTTCCCTTGCATATGCTGATGGGTCCCTCTAGTGTTAGCTCTGTTTCCTATAGCAGCATCCTCAAAGCTGTTTTTTTTTAAAAAAATTTTTATCACGGTGTGGATTCACACTGCAGGTCCCAATTTTGTATTAATGAATGTATCCAAATATTGTTATTCAATGATACTTTATTAGTTTGTGCGATTTGCATGTACAGATCCCATTCAGCTGTGTGTACATTCACAGAACACATGAAACAACCCACGCCACATACAAATTGCATTTGAGTAACGGCACAATTAACAACAAGCAAACAATATAGAATAAATAATACAAATATTGCATTTCAATTATCATTTAGACGGCCCGCACTGAGTCACATCACAGCCACATCACAGAGACGCCTCACGAGTTGCAGTGAACAGAGCCGTGGCGCGTCCAGCAAAAACTCCAGCAGGAATTGGCGCTCACACAAAAATCTTTGTAATGGCCAAGAGACGCCACACGGTGGCAGCAAAGCACTTCCGTCTCTATCCGATAAAGCTATGGCATCACATGAAACCCCAACGCAACATTTATATGCATGACGCAGTTTTGTCTTGGACGCCAAAACAGCAATTCGAAGTGTGTTCCAATGAATAACCCGAGATTGGTTCCCGATAAATATCTGCAAAGAGTCAAATTCGTGAATGCCAGATGCGGGAGTTGTCTGTCCTCTTTTCCTGATTTAACTTTCAACACACCTCTGATCTGGTATATTTAGACCATATTTGGTTGTCTAAGATTTCTGTTGCAATGCCTACGCTTTTTATACTACACTTTGGTTTAGTTGTGGTGTTTGGTCAGACCGGGATTTTCTAGACGACGCGCCCCGAAAAAAAATGATATAAAAGAGGCCAACATTATTAATTGAAAACTTTTCTCACCATTAATGTGACTTCCAAGTACTACAACTCATTAAAGAACAGCAGCAGCAACAACAACATAAAGATAAGACAAGGAGGAACATCTGTACTTACGTTTGAGAGGTTTTTTTTTTTTAATCCGTCAATGTGGGGGGTTGTTTTACACAAATGTGCATACTCAATACCTTAACAGATACACCTTTATTCCAGAGAGTTCAGGGCAGAACATAGAAACCAGCCAGTATCAAGTTCATCACAATGAGTGGGGGAAGTGTTCCGTTGTCATCAAATACAGAGCTTTAATTTAGTCGTTAGCAACAACGGAGGGTATAAGTAATTTACACATAAAAGGTCAGTACAACAGCATCACCTCATTGTGTTTTTTTTTTCTCCTTAAAATCTGATCATGTAAACAGAATGCAGAACCGACAGACGACTTTCTTTCTTTGCAAGTTCACTGCATATGTTGTATACAAAATGGAAGCGTAGCAAGTACGGCCGTAGCCTCTTCAGAGGTCTACAGGGTCCCTTTTCTCTTGCCAAATTGACGAGTGATCGACGCCTAGAATTGAAATGTCATTTTCTTCAGTTTTCGAATGACTTGAGGACTGTCACACAACAACTGATAGTAACTCAGTCCTTGATGGAGAGAGTACAAATAAATGGCCGCAGATGGCGGATTCCGTCCACGTATGGAAAAGTAAAGTCTTAAATGTTCAGTTAAAAAATGTTTTATTGTTGCGCGTTTGGAGTTGCCGCACATTTACTGTTTTATCAAGTGTACTCGAATCTCATATCCTATGATTCATTCCTTATGGTGGTGAACAGGGAAAAAAAGCAAACACACACATACTTTTGATCAGAAACGCAGTACAGATACATTTTCATGCACACAAAGAAAGCCAGCTTCCCAACATTTGGTGAGTGCCACAACATTGTTACAATGCTCAGTTGTGTCTACCGTCAAATGGAAATTTCCTTCCTTGTCAGAAGAACAAAAGGTTCATGCAACTATTGCTACCCTCAACTATTTCATTTTCTTTTATTTTTTTACAGTATTCACAGATGTCCACAAGTGTGCTTGTTGCATTTGGCCCCAGCTGTCAGCTGTCACCCCTTTGGACAAAACCTTGACTCTATTGCACCGCAGTCTCAGTATATGTGAAGTTTGGATTTGAATCAACCAGGCGTGACTCACGGCAGAATAGGTTCGATTTAAAAACAAAAGAAAAAAAAAACCCAAAACCCCAAGAATATATCTGCTGACTGAAACAGTGCGCATATTTGAATATTATTGAGTGACAGAACTGTTCCTCCTCAACGATCGGGAGCTTTTTTCAAGTCCATGGTCCCCCAAGTCTCAGTCCACATGCATCCATGTCGGAATTGTGCACCGGGCGGTCCTGCAGATGTCGCGGCATGGCGTCGCGATAGTCAAGAAACATCAGCCACCCCGTCACCTCTTATCAGCACGACATTTTTCTCCCGTCACGCAAAGAGTTTCCTAGCTGGGCTCCATACAGCTCACGCACTCAATAGCACAAAACTCTCTCCAATGTCAGATGACAGATGAGCGTGGTCATGACAGTAACAGCAACAATCTATTGAACGACGACGACGACGACATTTGCCCCAAGGTTACCTCTACACAACGAGCCCGTTTTCTTTTCAGTACAAATAAATCCACAGAATGACGGGCCAACTATATACAACCGACAATAAATACGGAAGTAGCATATGCGTTACGCTTTGAAACAATGGATGTTGGGGGTTTTCCTGACGTGTGGGGGGGTGGTGGAGGAACTTTTCGTACAGAGTTGGCCTCCTCATGTCTCGACGCCGTCCTGCTCTTCTTCCTTCGCTACCTCCCCGTGATGCCGGCGATTGCGAGGCTTCTTCTGTTCCTTGAACTCTTTCAGGTCTTTGACCTTGAGGGCACCGAGCGCGGGGTCTCCCAACTGCCAGTAGTCCTGGCAATACTGATTGATGAGGCTCATCTCCGGCTGGCTGAGAATGGTCAGCAGGTCCTTGTACTGGCCTGCGTTGGGAGTCCACTGGGTGCCGGAGTGCAGCGAAGACGGCAAGAGACCTCCCGCGCCTTCGACCAGGGCGTTATTGACAGCGCGGCTTGACAGCACCACCAGCTGCAGCTTGACGAGGGTGTGCTTGAAGTTCTTTTCCGTGGCGCTGCACTGGTACATGCCCGAGTCCGAAGGATGCAGAGACCGCAGGAGCAGACCTTGTTCGGTTTTTAAGATCCGACCGTCAGAACGCATCTACGAACAGAAAGAAAGAAAGAAAGAAAAAAAAAAAACCACAGCTTGAAATAAGATGTAGGTAATTTCAAGAAGGAGCTCAAATAAACAGGCCCAAGATTGTGACTAAGCTGAGACGAAAAGATGGTCATTATTTCCACACACTGTGCAAACATTTTGGTTTGGTGCCGTGCCATGAGAATTTTCCGACTCCAAATATCTGACTTTGCTCAGCTATCGTGAGGAATGCTCGCTCGAGATGACCCTGACTGATTATCCTGTGGCGCGAGCCTCGGTAAGAGAGATTTCTCCTCCTCGAACGGCTCGTAAAACGGTCGGGGCGGACAATCGTAAACGTGAACCCTGTGCAACATTTTCACACCCAGGAAAAATTCTCATTCAAAACTCAGCCTGTCAAAAGTTGAACGGCCTCAGAGAAAAAGAGGCCGTTGGCAGTGCAAGGGTCCAACAATATGCATCATTATGACCTTGCAAGTATTTGGCTGAGACTCAAATACGCCGGGAGTGAACGGAAAAGAAACAACGGTCAATCGGTCGGCAACAGACTGGAATTGTATTAGCATAGCCTTCAAATGGAATTATTTACACCGCTTCGTTTGGAGCCGTCAGAATAGATTCACCCCCCCATGTGCTCACTCGCGTCAGCGTGGTTGAAAGAGACGCTTTCTGGCACCTCACCTCCTTCCTGCGGTCGCTGTTATCTCTCTGCAGATGCCATTTGATGACAGCATGTGGGGAGCGGGCCTGACACTCCAGGAAGGTACTGCTTCCCTCCACCCCGTACTGTACCATCTCAAGAGTATTCTTATTAGCTGCAGGGCAAAAAGCAGAAAAGGTGTTACCATGGCAACAAAACACTCATTACCATGAGTTCCCTTCACCCCGAATCTTCGAAAGTGGCAAATCAAAAGCACTCGGCTCCCACAGATTACCATGAAACGGACGCCATGCAGCCATGCGGGCCCATTACAATGAGTACCGCGATGGGTTTCAAGTAGCAGAGACGCACTCCGGAGGCCATTAATGAAGCAAACAGCCTCAACAAAGGCTGAAACGTGAACTTGGGGAGGCTCCGAGGAACGAGCGCGCCTCACCGTTGGAGTTGAAGCCTCGACACTGGCGAATGGGGTTCCCGTACTTGACGTCCTGTCTTCGGCTACGTCTAAAGGGGTCAGACCAGTGTTGCGCAATAAAGAGAGAGAGAGAATATGGCATAAAGCAACTGAAAGCCATTCAAAGCATTCCACAACAGTGACAGCATGTGGGGAGCGGGCCTGACACTCCAGGAAGGTACTGCTTCCCTCCACCCCGTACTGTACCATCTCAAGAGTATTCTTATTAGCTGCAGGGCAAAAAGCAGAAAAGGTGTTACCATGGCAACAAAACACTCATTACCATGAGTTCCCTTCACCCCGAATCTTCGAAAGTGGCAAATCAAAAGCACTCGGCTCCCACAGATTACCATGAAACGGACGCCATGCAGCCATGCGGGCCCATTACAATGAGTACCGCGATGGGTTTCAAGTAGCAGAGACGCACTCCGGAGGCCATTAATGAAGCAAACAGCCTCAACAAAGGCTGAAACGTGAACTTGGGGAGGCTCCGAGGAACGAGCGCGCCTCACCGTTGGAGTTGAAGCCTCGACACTGGCGAATGGGGTTCCCGTACTTGACGTCCTGTCTTCGGCTGTGTCTAAAGGGGTCAGACCAGTGTTGCGCAATAAAGAGAGAGAGAGAGAGAGAGAGAGAGAGAGAGAGAGAATATGGCATAAAGCAACTGAAAGCCATTCAAAGCATTCCACAACAGACTGTATGGTTCCGCAAATATAGCAAATCCCACAAGGTCTAAAAACGGCCCTTTTCAACTCTTGAGGTGAAGCAGATGTTTGAAGTACAGAATTCTCTTTGTTTTATGTTTAGTTTGACATTAACCCCCAGCTGAGTGGCAATAAACCTCTTAAGGCATCAAGAATATTGATTGGCGTTTTCTGCCAAACTGTTGCTTGTCGTGAGGCGAATTGAATCACCGGCCATCATGCAAAGCTCGTGACCGATGAGTAAGGTTTGAATCTGTCCCATGTCGTCATTGCTGTGATTAAAAGCAGCCAGTCTGACAGTCGAGGATGCCAATCAACGAAGCGCACTACCCCATGAACGCACACGATCAAGTTTGCGTGGCGAGCGCCACCGTCTTTTGTGATGAAGGGCTACGCCTAAAAACACCTTTTGACTTGGTGCTCAAGGGCTCACCTCTTCTGGGAAGCCGAGTAACGGGAGCACGACTTGCCGTCCCAGGCGCAGTAAGGGTCTCTGGCCAAACAGCAGTCGGCGCACGCTTCTCCGTAAACATCGCAGCGGTGAAGCGCCAGCTGGGTCAGCCCGACCGCAGATGACACGTACAGCTGTTGCTGTTGCGACAAAGCGAGGGCGGGAGAAAATGTCGTGACACTGTCAAATGAGGCAACAACACAGCTTGGTGCTAAAAAGAATCGTAAAACTAACCCCAAAACTCATATGTACAGGGTACAAACTTTTGCATGCGAAGAGTCATTTGATTTCTGAAACTCTTACAAGTGGTCCCCCTCACCCATACACTGACACACCCACACCCAAACCCACCCGATATGTTAAATATGTATGCAAATGAAGAACTAATTTAACAACGTTCAACGTCTTGATGTGTGACGCATCAAAACACAAAGCGCAAGCGCACATCAAATCATTTAAATGACTTGACTCTGCACAGAGCCGTCACGAGACATGCTTACCCTTTTAGAGGACACCTTCATTGTCGTAACTGGAGTCGGGACCTAAAACATACAAAACGAAAATGCATTGATGAAGCCATTTGTCTGGCTGCGATTGAAACCGTCAAACAAACAAAGCAAAGATAACAAGACTGAGCTGCTGAACTTGGAAAACAGGCAAAAAGAAATATGTGAAAGAGTAAGAAGAAAAAAAACAAACAAATGCTAACCCTGAACACCTCAACCTCCTCCAGTACGAGCTCCTCGGTTTGCAGGTCATCTCTGGGAAGAACGATAACTTTCTGAACCGTTCCCTTGTCTGTGGAGCAAACACACAGAAAGACACACGTACTCTCAGCGCTCGCTAGCTATCCACCCTGAACATCGCAGGGCACACGGAGACGAACGGCCGTTCGCGCTCACTGTCAATTGTGTGTTTTCACTTTTGAGAGACTGCGGATGAATGCATTGATTTGCACTCGCTGCTTCATCATTTGGATGATGACTGGCCGAAGCAGAGGGCCCCTACCTCCAAATCTGCTGAGGGCTTCATGGCAGCGTGACCCTCTTTTTGCCCCCATTACGACACCGTTCCTTCGTCTTAACCCTTTTGCTCAGTGACGTGAGACTCTATTCTCCTTATAAACAAGGGTTTCCAATGTCAGACTCTAGAAATATCTTAAAGAGTAAACATGAAGTCTGTGCCCAAAATGCTCGTCTACACTAACGCAATGTTGGACACAGGGTGGCGCCACCCTAATAGGGCAAGCGTAAAGGTGGGCATTTTCGGCGGTACTCAGGAAATTTGTGAACCATAACAAGTGAGTAGAGGATAAAGTTTCAGATCGCAGCGTTTTACTAGGGGAGGTGCCAATCGGAGCAGTGGTGGATCTATTCTTGAGGGATCCGGGCTCATTGGACATCCCGAAAAACAGAATTGCCCAGACAACTCTTGCGCGAGATATTTATTGGCTGCTTGGGAATATATGCAGCATACAAATAAGATCTAAACGCTTTGAAAACCTTTGCCGATCTTGTACGGACCGATTGCCTGGTTTTAGCACATTTCATGTAAAGAATGACAAATCGTCCCTCCCGGATTCTTGAACATTTCTTGACGCGGCCCTTGATATAAAACCCCTTGGAAACCGTGAGTCTAAAGCAAAACTCTCAGTTCGCTCTTCCTCCGTCCTAAGACATCGATAGCATGCTTGATTTCTGTTGGCACTCCCGTGAGCGGGATACATAATTTATGGTTATGACTTGTGCAGGGAGTCTTCAACGGTGGGCCGGATGCTTGTCTGACAGCAGCTGAAAGCCAACACATTCCTCCAGCAGGCCCGGCATCACCTCTAAAGACGTTCGTCTCCTCGCCATAAGGCGCAGATGAACAAAGACGCCAGTTGGAATGTGGCAGAATGCAGTATGCCGGGTGGGGGGGGGGGGGGTTGTCACCCCTCCCCACCCACTTCTCATTTTACCCCCTGCATCTCCCACACCTCCTTGGTTTTAATCTGCCATGGCCCTCCAGCTAGTTATTTTTGTCAACAGACTGAGTGAAAAACAACGTTAACAGGTCAAAGCAGCAGGTTCCACATTAGCACAAAAGGCCACAATGCATTCATTTAAATAATAAATGATTAGTGGCCCGACACTTATCCCGGATTCCTTCAACGGGTCTCTTTTTTCAACTCCACGCTGATGCTGGTATCAAAGAGTCTTCTACTTTCTGGGGTTTTTGTTTGTTTGTTTTTAATTCGGACAGTTTTTTTTCCAAAATGACACCCGAGTGGGCAGCAGTCGGCGAGTGCTCTTCAAGAGCTTTGCTTTTTTTTTTTTTTTTTTTTTTTTGTCGTTTTTGCCTTTGGTTTTGTTTGCTGTTACTCCGTGTGGACCCGATGTGGACTGTTTTCAGCGTTTTTGGCCACGATGTTCATGAAAAGACAAGAATGTATTGTACTTGGTGGTTGCGCCTGGTTATCACTCCAGCCACTCGAGCGTCGAGTGAAAGCATAAAAGAGTTGCCTCACATTTGTGTGAAGGTAAAAACAACAAGCAGCTCCCAACTCACCGGTTCCCAAGAAGAGCACTTCATAGTTGCCATCCGCAGCAGTCACCTGGTCCACGGCAACGGTGGTGAACTCATAGTCCACGTTGGTGCGCACCACTAGGGGGCGCTTGTGCACCGGGTAGACTGAATTGTACATGGCCGGGTGAGTCCTCATGAAGTTGATCACTTCATCCGGGTAGTCCTTAGTGGACTTCATGTTGGGGGTGAACGTACCTCCGGGGCACTACGGAAAGAAGGGCATCAACAATAGGCGGCATGCTCAGGTGAAGAAAAACACACCACACCGTCTTAAAGAAATATTGAGTTTAGCCGTGCTGACGCTGCATTTTGGTAACCCGCAAAGAAAATTCAATGTTATGCCAGCTTTGTGTGGGGGCCACGTGTGGGTGAGACCTTCTGTAGGTAAGACTTACTGTGCCTGGGCGGGGGTAGGGGATCTTCCCGGTGTAGGCCACCCACTGGTAAGTGGGACCTTCCTTGTGGGCAAAGGGTCCATTGAAGACCATGCGAATGTCAGCCATGGAGTAGACGCAAACGGCCGAACCTTTGAAGACAGAACTGATACGAGGAGGGGAGAGAACATATTCTCAGGAAAGTTGAAACACAGAAAAAAAAATGCAGATAATTCAGTAGGAATCAGAATTCAACTCATTTATACTGAGCGTAAAAACGAACCCGGAGACAGTAAAGACTCCATATATAACAGGATTCTTGGTGTCCTGCGTTGGCTGGATGTAAACATCACCTGAAAGAAAAAAAAAGAGGCAACATTACTTTACTGCAAAGAGAAAAAAAGAAGTGCAACATCGTACTCATCTTCAAAAATGGTTACACTGGTTTCTGTGAAGCCAACTTTGCAGAGACCCACCCGCCCCCTTGCCCCCATCTCAGAAAAGGAAGCCATGAGATTCTGAACATCCATCTTTGTTGAAGAAACACGCGACTGATTGTTGGCTTTAGACAAAGCGAGACTGTGTCTTGATGTTTGAAAATTTCCAAAATGCTACAAGAGGGTCAGGTACGCGGTGTTACAATCGAGCCTTTGATGTCAAAATCATCCATTCCTCCATTTTCTTTTGCGTTTGTCAGGTGAGCTGAAGCGTGTCCCAGCGGACTTTAGGCGACGGGCCGTCTGCGCCCCGGACTGGCCTCCAGCCAATTGGAGGACACAAAAACAAAGCCGTCAGTGTAAAAATCAATCCCTGCGCCCAAACCTTTATCCTGAATCTTAAATAAGGATTTCCAGGGGATGAATCAGTTACAAGTAGTGTGTCACTAACCTCAGAGCGCCATTTGAAAAAAAAAAAAAAGACAGACGAGTCATTGTTTTGCCTGGTCACAGATGTGTCACATTTTTCTCAAGCCAGAGTCACCCTTGTTTGAAATAATTGTCGGCAATAAAAAGCAAAGTGTGTTTTTCGGGACGGCGGCTGGGTTGAGATGAAAGCAAGAACCGGGTCATCACCATCAAGCGACCACAACTCTAATCGCACACCTTGAGCGTGGCACTTTTCATTCTTGACATTAGTTCAAGAGCATTGGTGAGATGCTGCATCAGTCCCCAGTCACTGTGTGCCTCTATTTTAAAGTGCCTGACACACACGGGGACGTAAACCCCCCCCCCCCTTACCAGAGAGACTACTATTCTCACAGTCACACACATTCCAAAGTTGTAAGAATTGGGACTGAACTACAACAACAACGAAAATTGAATTAAAATCGACATCGTAATATCTTAGAATGTAATTTTCAAATCGCAAAGGTGCTTATTGTGTGTGTGTGTGTGGGGGGGGGGGTTCCTGTGTCCCATGACAGTGCCCTCGATGGGTCATAAAATGGAAAGAGGGGAGAGAGCAACAATGTGGGCCACAGACCCAGCACACGCGGCGTTATGGGTATGAATGTGGGACACTTTTGACAGGTGCTGCAGTACAAACACAAGCAAGAGCTTTTCTTTTCGTGTATCAGATGTGATCGTACTTGACAGGTACTTGGAATTAAATATGCCTTTCATAAATGTACTCATTTGCTTTTTTTTTCTTCTGAGCAATGTGATACTTATGGTCAAAATGATGAACTACATGACATAGTAGATTTCAAGAATAGGTCGCCATAAAAGTTCCTCGCAGATTTTACTTTGACAAAATAGATATATTTGAGGTGCTATGTTCTGCTAGGTTGTGCTAAGTACTTTTCCTTTAAAAAAATATACATATATTCGACTTGAAATTGGATCTAAGCTGACTGTTGAAACGCAGTGGATGTGGAAAGGTAGTGCTCACTTCGTGAGGGGGGGGGTAAATATGTTAAATGAAGCGTTCATTTAGGGAAGGAGCCAATCGTTGACAGCAATGTTAATCAACAATGCATATCGTGTACTCTGGACTCACGGAGTTCATCAAAGTGCGTCTCCATTCCATCCGCGCCTGGCACCGAGCAGATGAGCCTGGCCTTCAGGAAGGTGCTCCACTTGTTGACCAGACAGCAGTGACCGCCGTCATCATTCTATAAGGATGCGAGCACAAAAGTGTTTTTTTTTTTGCCATGGTTTGGCCCCACGCACATCCGATCCGCCTACTCATCTTCCTACTCTCTACTGAAAACAAACCACAGGTGGAGTCTCCCACACAAAACTCAACAAGTCGGTTTGCATTACGAGGAAGCTTAACGGCGGATGGGGGTTGGGAGGATAAACACACTCTCCTCGTATTTACACATTTCCATCTGCGGTGGAGGAAAAAGCAAAATAAGACGGATACGGAGCCAGCCGGCAACCCTCTTTATAAACAATGCACTTTTTATGAGGGAACAATTTCAAAACGGCATTATTGTTCCATGACAGAAATAAAAGCCGACTGGATTTGAAAGATGATCAGTTCTTATGAGATAATCCAAGTGGCTTGACAGATGGAGTCACGTGGTCGTGGTCCAAGATTTGTATCGAGTTTACTGATTGCAACTTTCAAACACTGGGCGGCTATGACGACAACGTGATATATAACATACTTTGTCACCCGCTCTTTGGCGCGTCGTCGCAAAGTGTGCCTGCAAATCCGCACGGGCAGCATGAGCCACGCGGGTTTTATTGGGGGTGGGGGGGGAGAAAGTCTAGATCAGTGGTGTCCAAAACGTTTTCATTTGAGGGCGGCATGCAGAATATTTTAAATTCTTCATCTTTTTGAAACACCAGCCAAGAAAGCAATTATGTATTGTTTGTATTATCTATTGTTCATTTCATCAGCCTTCTGTTCAAGGTGTTACGGCAAATAGTTGAGGAGGTCTTTGGGGGTGGCCTGAAAAATGGACGGCGGGCCGCAAATGGCCCCCTGGCTGTCGTTTGGACACCACGGGGTCCACATTAATGAGGTATGACTCTTAACTGGTCTTGGCACCAAAAGGGTCGTCGGACGAACAGACAGAGGAGGCCGTCAGGTCAAAAGGTGAGAGGGCAGAGGGCAGCCGAACAGACAGAGGGAGGCATTGTCGACAGGAAGGTTAAAGACACACGTGGATTCCAGCACATCGATGTTAGCCAAATACCAATTCGGCACATGTAAACACTTCGAGCCAGCGGCTGAGTCTGGGGACGCAGGAGACTCGAGCCTGTTTTCATATGGATGCTGGTTTTCCTCGTGCTGTTTCCAGCCCCAAACAAACGCACGGCATGGCGTACACACCAGGCAGATGCGTCCGATGCGGGACTGGGTCATGGGACTCTGGCCCATCTCCGAGGACGTCTCCCGGAAGAAGAAATACAGCTTGTCGTCATTCCTTTCCGCACTGTCGGGGATGAGGTGCACATGGACGAAAGTGGGATCTGTGGGTCGAAGAGGCTGACATATTTGATACACTGAATGCTGTTTTCCTGCTAAGCACTTGTTGAGAGACTACGAATGGATGGTGACGTCTCAAAGAAGTAAGACATTTACCATTCAACCATCTGGAGTTGTACTGATCGGTTCGCATGGCGGTCTTTGTCCCCAAAGTGCGGAAAATGGCCGAGTCCGTTCCCATAAAATCCACGTAGACGCCGGCGTAGAGTTCGCCATCTGAAAAGAAAGAAAATCTTCCGCTCGAGTCCAATTTCACCACGACAATTGGCACAAAACACACAGCGCAGTCATCCATTTTTTTTCAGATGACTGTGCGCATAAACACAACGTGAAGCATGCAATCGTGTTCAATTTCAGTAATACGGTGGTGTGCAAACTGTGGTTCGGCGGCCATTTGCGGTTCCTTCTTTCCGCAGTGTACTCACTTTTCACGTGCGCGTGAGCGTGGGTGTTTCTGAATCTTATGCCAGGGTATTTTTTTGGACAAGGCAAAACAAAATGATGAAGAACATCACTATTGCTTACAGAAAGAGGTCCCTTCAACCTCTGGAACAAGCCTACGCCGCCCATGATCGAGACATAAAATATAAGCGCATGCATGCGTGACAGATGGCGGTAGAGTACACGGCAGCCTTGTTAGGCCACGGGAGTGCTAATGGTAATGAATGATAGTGACGATAATCATCGTAACATCGGAGACACTCACTAATTAAAGCTGAAACACTGTCGAGCTTGGGGTCGTAGGAGCACTTTCCTTTCCCTGACTCCACTTTGCCGGGCTCCAAATGGAAAATGTCTTCCTGCAATTGGAAAATCAGAAGGAGAATGGCAATAAATTCTGCGCTCTTGATCTTGTCACAGTGACTCCCCTGCGTAGGGGAAATGAGGCTCCCTCGGACTCCTGTGGGACCTTTCAAGCTTGATGGGGGATGGCGGATTAGAATAATGAGTGTGTGCAGTGCGGGGCGGAGGAGGAATTTCAAATCCATCTTTAAGCTACTCCAGCGCAGAACAATGCGCTGTGAGCTACGTCTCTCAGCGTAAAGCAGTCTATGCCAAATAGTTCTCCGATTCTCGGAGCCCATGGTGGTACAGGTCTACGCTTGACACCTGTAATCCAGCGCGGAGAAAACTCGACGAAGATAGAGGTTGCTCGCGCGCCGCTGCGCAGCACGCCAGCGCTGAAAAGTGAGTGTTAGGAATTTATGAGAGGGAATAACTGAATCCGTGACATGCAACGGCATGTCCTTATGGCTGCGCCTCAAAGACCAGCAAATCATGTCAAATCCTCATTTCGATTCCCTGGAGGGACAGAGATCAGAGTCTGTCGTGGTCCATCAGTCGCAAAGCGGAGGAAGCGGCCGCGGCACCATGCGAGACTCCCTCATCCTATCCGCCCCTCTAGATTCCGACTCAAATGTGATTAAAATCACCACTTGTGCAAACAAGAGCATGCTGGAAGCTCACTCTCAATCATCCCATGCGATGCCTCAATTCAAAAAAGAAAAAAAAAAAAGAAAGGGTCCAAAACATGTTTGGCTTTTTTTTTTTTACAAGGACACATCCTGTAATTATTTTATTCCCTTGCCGCAGTGTATACGCTACAAGGTCCTACAAATAATAGGACAAGAAAACTTTTTCACTCCGGCCACTAGTCAATTATTTAAAGTGCCGGGAGAACACGTTCAAATATGCAGCTCTTTTATTTTCTTTGCCGCACAGCCAGTTACAGCTACAGACGGCTGCCTTTTGCTCTGGACTAATCTAGCCTGTGGTGGGATTTGGTAAGATGCTAACGAAGCCTGCTCTGCTGCCTCTGTGGAAGAGACTGCAAAACCTTCCTGTTGAATTTGAGGGCCGGATGGGCCAAGGAATCTTATTGGAAAGGCTCAGTCATTTCTTCGGCATTTGCTTCAGTCCCTCGTGCAGAGCGTGTTGCGCTTGTGATTTCAAGGCGACCACGCCGTGCATTGGAGCCTTTGTCCCGCCAACATCATTTTGAAATTTCAGCTGGCTGAATACATTCAAATGTGACGAGTTTTCATCAAAACACCTCAGCGTATGGATAAGAAAGAGCGATGAGAGAATGAGGTTAGCATCAAGAAATGCTATGATTAGAATTCACAGTGGGTGGACCACAAATCAAACCAAGTGTACAAAATGGTCAAAGAGCATGCTGGGGATTGAAAAGTTGAACACGAGATGGCCAGAAAGAAAAGAATGGCACATGCAGCTTGTGGTTATGATCCCAAGCGGTATGCACGGCTACGGTGCAAACGGGGGCCGACATCACACCTTGAGTCCAAGCGTCTCATGCACAGCGCTGGGTTCAGCTGCGCGGTTAGCTCTTCCTCTGGCCTGCACCATCTGTAGATACGCAGATGTCTAAAACAGGAGATAGCAACACAGCCTGCTGTTATGCCACTGGAAGGGAAAAGGTCTGGGAAGTTCGTCTTTGGAATGATTGCAAAAAAAACAACAAAAAAAAAAAATTTTAGAGGCGTCCTGTTTTTGTCAACTAGGTCTTTTTTTGAAATGCATGTTTCCTTCATTGGTTGAATGACGTTTTGTTTGAGGTTCTCTCAAAGACCATCCCTGGAGATCTGGTTAGCAACGCAATGTGTCTTTCGAGGACAGCCGATAAACAAACATATGACCGACCCCCCAAAAAATAAATAAATGACTAAAACAACGTACCTTATGGGACGAAACGAATCTGTACATTATAATGGTAGCTCGTTGTAACCATTTCCTATAAAATGGCCGCCAACTAAGATGTGTAATGCAGAATGAACACTGATGTAAAAACATGTAATATTGTAAAAATTGTCGACTTTGCCAATTGGTCGTCTGGTCCGAGCTTGGTCCAGGAGACTCCCTTTCCAAAGTGAGAGATAATTTCAGCCTTCGTAGACAGCAAGATTGGCTTCCGCTCAGGACCGCGCCGTGCCTCCGGAAGTACAACAATGTTCCGAGTCGATCAGTAGCATTAAATTTTGTTCAAAAGCAAAGCCGCAGCAGCAGTTAGCCTCGCACGGTTCGTCGGAACGAAGGCCTTTTCACTATTTTGTGGGACAAATCTGGTCGTTAGGATGACGTTTACGTTGTAAAGGTGTTTGTTGTAAGCAAAATCGGCAAATAGAAAATGAATTGGGTGAAATCGGTCAGGACTTTGAAATGCGAACATTGTAGAGATGCAAACGTTGTCAACGGCGTACGTTGAAATGAGGTTCAACTGTATTTAGTCATTCGACTTAAATTCCTCACTTGGTTGAGAAATGCGCCCACGGCAATGCCCAAAATGTGTACAAAGTGACAATGAAAATAAGCTTCCCATCCAGAGACAAAACCAGGAACTCCAGTGACACCCCATAGTGGGAGCTCCCACTTCCAATTACTGGGGTCAAGTTCTCACTCACGTAGCGGCGTTGCCAGAGGTTCTGGATGGCTTGGCATAGGGTGGGTAGATTGCTGACCGAAAAGACCTTTGTTTCAAGAGGCCATCCAGAAACCAGATGCAATAAAGAACTCATAAAAACGACACTTGCGGCTGCATGTTCTCTGCACAGTTTCCAATCGAATCTCAAGGGATAGTCCAGTAGTCAATTACATCTCGTGTGCCCTTTTTCTTGAAGTCCCGTGGTCATCATTGGGAAACAAGAACAATAGTTAAAGAAGCGTGAGCTTTTAATGCGAGCGAACAGGGAGGTTATGGTTCCTGGCTTGCTTTGGGAAATTCAAGTGGCGCCGTTACACGTCGAGGTGGCTTTAACAGCTCATTTGGGACAACAGCTGTGCGCGGGTAAATCTGTGGCGCCTGCTTACAGGCACTGGGCCAGAAACAGAAACCTAATAGTGCTGGACAATCATTAGCTTTCATATAAGTAGCCTAGCACAAGGTGGGTAGGGAATATAATCATAGGTTTGATTAAAAAAACAAAAACAAAAAAAAAACTGCCCATGATGATGATTGGAGAAAGATTGTTCTTTTTTTTTTTTTTGGTTCTTACCTGAGACTTGCGCCCCCGGTTGACAAAGGTACAGACTGGATTGTAAGCGCCGGTCCCACAGACATACAGCTGCGTCCTATTCCATGGCTCAATTAGACGGATGAAGTTCGCGCACTCTTCCTGTAGAGATGAAGAACGGCCCACAACTGTCTCAACATAAATTGTAAAGAGAAACCTTCTTCTGGCCGGGACTTTCACTGGAGGAGACTGTCGGCGCGAGTCATTTAACGCCTTTACAGGCACCCTGTTTGCAAGAGCATGTTTGCTGTTGGAAGGTGTTCAACGGTATGGGTGCGAGGAGTGCCGCCTTCCAACATGGAGCCGAGCGCGTCCCACGGGAGATGTGGAGAGGGATGAGATTCAGCGCGAAAAAGTCAGTTTAAGCGAGAGAGAGAGAGAGAGCTGACTAGATGGGACTGGAAAATTGTACACGTGATACTTGCCAACGGTCAAACAAAGGGCTGTTAGAAAACTACGCTTGCTTGTTTACTTTCACACTCAGCTTGTAGCAAACGTTCGTTCTGGTCAATGGAGGCTTCGGTCTTGCTCCTCTCTTATCTCGCTTGAAACAACAAGAGAGACTCAAACGCCACAGCCCCCGTAAGGCGAAGTGAAGGGAGCAATGGTCTATTTTGATTGGAGAAGACTATTTTGTTGAGTTATTTGTGAGTGTATTTTGTGCGCAGCACTTTGTCACAACTGTGGCTGTTGTGAAAGTATGAGTCGAGAATTACAACCGGTGATGTAAAATTATATTTGAGGGAACTGCAAACTTTGATCCAAACCCATTTATAAAAGGCTGCCGAGCCAAAGGAAATCATCTAAATCTAGTGACTCGTGCTGGCACGGCAGGTTTGCTGTCAAGAGGCGTACTTACACTGGCGTCTTTCCCGCTTACGAGGCATTCCATCTTTCTTCGTTCAGACACTGGCCAGTGGATCTGTGAGCAGGAAAACAGTTCATATTTGAAAGTAGTTTCACGTCACTTGTGTTTATGGGTGTTTCAGGCAAAATTTGCAATGGACGTCCACCAAAGCTAATACTGTATTAGTCCCGCAGGAATTGTCCTAACCCAATAACAGCCTCAGAATGACTCACGATCCTCCCCAAAAAAAAAAAAAAAAAACTGGAGCCAAACTTGTTGCCCTGAGGCCATTGGTAAGAGTTTAAGTAAGACCGCTTGCTTCAATTCGGCAAATCGGGGGAGTGTGGGAAAAAAAAGCCTCTTACAATATGAGGGTCCTTGTTGATGTCATGGAGATCCAGAGACAGGATGTGATCCTTGCTACCAATGTACATGCGGTCATAGTCCTCATCCATTCGCAAGATCCGGTAATCTGAAGTGTTGAGGAGGTAGGCAAAATGATGAGCGGTACCAGTAGATCTCAGCTCTGCATGGAGGAAGACAAAAAGTGATGCGCATTACAGCCGCACTTACACAACTCAATGCTCTTTGTGGCACTCCGAGATATCCATTTGGGGGTTATCTGATGGTTTACCATGAACAATGAAGGAACTTAACACCACGCATTAGGAAGACGTGCTACTGAGTGTCTGTCACAAGGTGTTGATGACTTAATACCACCGAGTAGATCTGACGATCCGCAAAGTCTTTCACCGAAGCTTGTCTACGACTTCCATGAAAGAGGCATTGTCAGAAAGAAAAATGATACACCGCATGCAAGCCCCTTATGCGCTGGTTATCGATGCAGTCTTTTCTGGCGTAAGGTACCAACAAGCAATGGGGAGTTGAAGCTGACCACCCAATATGCCATCTTCAGATGTAGTATCAGAGACGTAACGTTGCCGTCATGTACGGAGAGGATCAGGTTGAACACCTGAGGTCCACTGCTCATTGGGGGAGACAGAACAAGAAGCCTGGCGGGTTGCTGTTCAGGGCCCCGATATCTTAGATGTAAAAGGAAAACAGTCCTTAATAGACCAGTCCTCAACTTTACTCAACTGTAAATTGAGGTTCTTGAACTGGAGGAAAGCTCGATTTCTGATCGGACTCCATTCTAATGGCGAGATCAAGCTGAGAGCGAGAATCACATTTCAAGGTTACCCAGAATCCGGTTTTGTTGATTTAAGGTGCCAAAAATTTAGGGGAAGGAAACCAGCAGATTATCCATGGTAGAGACAATGAAGTTAATTTACAGTTGACCGGTGATCGCAACTATTTTCAACTATTTTGCATCACGTGCTTGAAATTGGTAAACACTCCTTTCAACATGTCCGCCATTAGGTCTAAAAATAAAGAGCCCACCACGGAGGCTGATATCACTCAACTCTTCGGCCAGAAGTCAGTTTTAAAAGGGTTACACTAATAAGCACACATTTGGAAAATGACATTTGCTATATTTGGGAGGTCTGACTTCATAACAGTGCCCACCAAGGGAATGTTTACACGTCAGCCAAGAGATGGACAGCTGTCAAAGCCTTGTGCAGTGGAACTCCAACATGTGGCCTGACCCTGTGATTATTTGCGTTGGAGACTTAAGTTGAATGATGACTCCCCATACGCCCAGTCGAGCTGCCGGGTTTGTGTGTGTGTGTGTGTGTGTGTGTGTGTGTGTGTGAGTGTGTATGACTAAGAACACAATAGCCAGATACATCATGCACATGCACACCCATTCCGTGGGCCAGTCAAAATCCTCCCCGAAGAAGGTTTTCAGCAACTCTTCAGTATGTTTGTCGCATCTGGATGGGACCTTCTGTCGGCTGAGGCGGTAATGCGAACCGCACATAGCAACTCCCTGAATACATAGTACAGAACAAATATGTGTAACCCAAGCTTATAATCTGATAAATACAGCAGACGGTGTCCCGTTGATGATCATCCAGCAGCATGCCATGATTGGCCTCTGACTGTACACTACTTTTTAAACACAGTCCATAGCTACATGAAGGGAACACCTACTGGATGAGGTGATGGTGTCGTTGAGAAAAGCTAATCCTGGAGGGAAAACATTGCTCTTTCATTACATTGAATCACTCAGAGCTTAAGTCTCTGGCAATGTTTGGACCTGACATTAATGTGCATCTCAGGTGATTTCAAGGGGACACGTTAGCTCATGCCTGACATCTGGGTATGACTAAACATGCGCCTCGAGTGACCACTTGTGATTACTTGTCACTCTACTGCTCTATAAACATGAACACTGACATCATTTATTTTTATGCGTGAAGACAGAATTGTGATTTTTACCATCAGAAAGCAGTACTGGACGCGTCATGTCTTGTTTGACAAGGATTTCAAAAATGACTTGGAATACTTCCATAAAGTATCCATTAATACAGCACCATTTTTGAGGGAAAATGATGTGTGATTTTGAACACTTTGTTTTGGAGCCTGATTGGTATCCACTGGTGAGAATGGTCTCAAAGCTGACATGACAACATTGAAATGCTAAAAATGGAAGATGTGTGCATGTAGTCTTCAGTCTGTGCATGAATGCACTTCAAGAGCAGAGCGAGAACTGTTGCATAGTTGTACCCAAGAGAATGGTTTTGATAGAGCTTCCTTTCGGCAACATGTACACATAGTTAATAACCAGTAATCAACTCGACTCAACTGTATTTCTAGAGCACTTGAAAACAACCACCACTGTATACAAAGTGTTGTTCATGGAGCAAAAATAATTCATACAACAATAAACATAAACAAATAACGAAGACAGTAGAAAGCACAAAAAAAAGAGTCAAACTGAAACTCAGGTCTCATGCTGAGTCAAAAGGCAAAGAATAAAAATGAGTTTTAAGACGAGTTTTAAAGATGGGCGGCGAGGGGGCTTGCTGAACGTTCATTCCAAAGAGAGGGAGCCCCAACGCAAAAGGCTCCGTCCCCTCTGAGCCTCCGCTTAGATCTCATACCTCTAATGTGTTTGGTCCGCGGACCTGAGGAAGCTCAGAGAGGTTAGGTGGGGCCAGGCCGTTTCAAGATTTGAAAACAAAATGTAGAAGGAGCCAGTGATGGGATGACAGAGTAGGAGTGATGCGCTCCCTTCTTACGAGGACCAGTCAAGAGGCGAGCAGCAGCATTCTGGGCCAACTGGAGACGCTTCATGGAGGATTATCTGACTTCAAAGTCAAACGTATTACAGTCACCCACCCAAGAAGTGACAAAGGCACGAATGACCGTTTCAAAGTGCGTGTCGAAGAAGGGTGTTCAAAACTTGCTTTTGTTTAAGAGCTGGCGAGGGCAAGTCGATGGTTCGCATGCATGATTCTTTGTGAAGTGTGAATGGAGATGGTTTTAACTCTGTCGTCTGTGTGCGGTTTGCTTCACTTTTTTTGGCTCTACACTCACACAGAGGCTGCATTGTCTCGTGAAATGACCAAATCCCTCTACGGCCTGGGAATAGTGCCACATGAGTTGTAAAAGTAAACCGGGGGAGGGAATAAGATCCTTGCACCATCATGCAACATCTTTACTTCAAGTCATGCACCTGTACACTGGTACTTGTGTGGTTTGCAGGTGGGCAGATAGGAACATGAGCTCTGTCCACAGATTAAAAAAAGAAGAGAAAAAAAAGAAACAAAACATGAAGCCACGCATCTGACATTCACTACCAGACAGTGATGTGGGTAGTTTAGAAAACAATGCTCAGATTTCAAAGACTAAAATAAAAGCACACACCACTGCCAATAACTGAGTTGCACTTTCTTGTTGAAGGCTGATTGGGAAGAACTAGAGTTTCATGATGAGGGTTATCAAAAGCAAGCAATCTGTTGCTCTCACACTGACTAGGGAGGGAACGATGAGGAGTGATGATGAGCCAAGCATGGCGCAATCACCTGCGCAAGTCTTTGATCTGTGGATTCCACTTTGCGAAACATGTACCCGAGAAGCGGAAACTGGAGGCTGTGCATTGGCATACCCTTCTGTCTTAAGAATCGAGATCAGAACACCGTCGGAACTAACAAAACAACTTCTGGACTCGGGAGCCGTTTACATAACAAAGGCATTTTGGAGCCCGAAAAGCGCAAACATTTTAAGACAAGACTCAAAGAGAAAGTTTCGAAAAGAACTTGTTTCTGTTCAAACCCTGAAAATAGCAGTTACTGAAAACAGATGACATGTACATGCATGCTAAAGGTTCAGTCTGGGAATGTGTGAGGATGTCACAAGTGAATATTGAAGTAACAATTCTCTCTTTTAAGTGAAACTGTAGTTTTCCGTAGTCCAGTCCAAACTGCAGTTGGTCTAGAAGACATTTTCGAAAACACGATAAAACCGTTGCCCTTTTTAACAATGCTGTCTTCTCAAAGTAGCCGAAATCATTGCATAAGTGGATACCTGGTTTGGCTGAAGGCTCTAGTGTTTTAGTATTTGACTGACGGCTATCCCCTCCGAACCCCCAGCACATCAAATATATGTTGGTCTGCCGAGGATGTGTCCTGAGGTGCTTTCCAACTGGTTTGAGGACTGTGAGATCACACGCGAGAAGGGCAGGAGCAATAATTAGGGTGCTTAAGTGCAGGTGGGAACCGTGTCATGCTCTCACACATCAAAGCGGGACTGTCTCAGGATTCTCCACAAACTATTTATTGTCTCAAAAGTCCCTTTGTCAGTTGTGAAATGGTTTATGTTGTGAGCAAGAATCAGGCAAAGACAACATTCAGACTTCAAAGTGAATATTTCATTGACAAAGCAGAAATATCGAAGCAGACCAGAATTCCAAAATCTACTCTCATATTCGTGTTGTTGGGTCCGACAGCAAATTAAGATAGCAACTATAAACTTCAAATGTTTCCAACCATGACAGTCGAACCTCGTTACAACGTACCTCGAGGGACCGACGAATCTGTACGTTGTAATGGTCATTCGCAGTAACCATTTCCAAGAAAACATTCAGTCAGCAAATGAAAAGTGCCTCTCCCGTGCAGGACGTGCCACGCCCCAAAGCCGTTAATGATCGTCTTTTAATCTGCTGGTGTCGAACTCTGCCGTGATTTTGTTGCCATGATGCACCTCATGGCCGAGATACCCTTGAAAAACGTAGCGACAATAGCTTCCTTCCGTTTGGGTCGGCCGTATACTTCCAAATACCGTATCACATAAAATGCGGGAGAAGCTTAACTGGGGCTCCAAAGACTTCTGACAGGGTTCTAGTACACCTAGGGCCAGTGTGGCACCTTGGCTCTTGTCCAGCAGCGTGTATCTAAAGTAGTTGTGGCTTTCCCCTTTATCTAGTCGACTGAAGTTTCTCACAGTGATACCAGTATTAGCAGGATAAGGAAATACCTAATGCCGTATAATGGCAATCAGAGAACACACCATCAGGAAGATTAGGAAACCCACTTTTGTATTTGGTGTGTATCCGCTGGATGTGGCTGCCGTTTGTCACACAATCCCAGCTCTCTAATCAGTGGAGCCACTGCACGTTCG